CATGGCTCATGACAAATGTAGAGAGAGCCCCATGGGGACCGTGGATGTGTGAGAGACGGGAGGATGTGGCTGAAGGCTCTGAAAGGGTGCCTCTGCAACCAACGTGCAGAGATGTCCAAGGCCATCTTCAGAAGTCACATGAAAGCCAGGTACTACTTTCTCCAAACCAGTTTGTATCTCTCTCTCTCTCTCCCTCTCTCTCTCTCTCTCTCTCTCTCTCTCTCTCTCTCTTCATCTATCTATCATCTATCAGCTATCATCCATCTATCTGTTTATCCTCTGTCTATCATCTACCTGTCTATCATCTATCTATCTATCTATCTATCTATCTATCTATCTATCTATCTATCTATCTATTGATCATTGAGACAGGATCTCTCTAAGAAGCCCTGGCTGTCCTAGAACTCACTATGTAGCCAAGGCTGTCTTGGAACTCACTATGTAGACCAGACTGGCCTTGAACTCACAGAGACCAGCCTGCCTCTGCCTCCCACATATAATTTGTACCATTTGTTTATTCCTCTTTGCAGTCCTAGAGATAAAATCTAGGGCCTTGCACAGGCTATGTAAATGCTGTACCACTGGGCCACATCCCCAAACCTTTGGTTTTCATCTTAATGGTCAAAGAAGTGTCTGGTGGCAGGTGTTTCTCCTCTCTCAGACTAGCAGTTCTTTTTTTTGGGGGGGGGCGGGGTTTCAAGACAGAGTTTCTCTGTGGCTTTGGAGGATTGTCCTGGAACTAGCGCTCGTAGACAAGGCTGGTCTCGAACTCACAGAGATCTGCCTGCCTCTGCCTCTGCCTCCCAAGTGCTGGTACCAAAGGCGTGCACCACCACTCCCAGGCTCAGACTAGCAGTTCTGTGAGATAAAGGAGCATCTCAAAGATATGGAGCTTGCCCCACTTCAGACCAAGTTTCTCAAAGTCTTCAGGTCCAGCCCTTCCATACTCGGGAGGAAGACCCTGGCCCAGCCTTGCTCCCAAAGGTGCTCTTGCCTGATGAACCCCTCAGTTCTAACTCTGTCCCTTCAGAGTCTTCTGTCCCGACTACTATTTATTCTCCCCCAAGCTGTCTTTGTCTTGCATTTCCCATGTCCAGAAAGATTATAAATATTACTGCTTCCTCTCCTAGCCACCCCTAATCCCCATCCTGACAGATAATGTCCCGTGGATGCAGCAGAACAATCCTTGGTAACTGAAACCAGCCTGGGTACCTTCCAAGGGTTACTTCACCCAGCCTTCATCTCTAGGCTAGCACAGGCAAAAGCCACTATATCACATGAGTGTTTGGGCCTTACCAAGGCACAGTACACATGGGTGGTATTCAGTAAATGCTGGAACATGGGTAGGAAATGTTCCACAACCTCTCCCTGCAGTCTGCTTGTTCTTTTCTCTCTGGCCATTCTCATCCTCTGTCTGTAGGTGAAACCCATGTTCTCCTGGAAAGACATCACTAGAATTGAGTTACACGCCTCATTCTAGAAATGTGGGCAACGCTTGTTGCTACCTGCAGCCTATACACTTAGCTCATCACTGTATATTTGGGCAGAGGGTGGCTTTACTAGAGTGGTTCCCCAGAACTAAAGAATCCCAGTGACCTCACTTAGGTGTCTGGGGCCTGGACTTGGGGTGGTAGGAGCAACTGGAGGCTGGTGACCCCTTCTCTCCTTCCTTCTCCCTCTTCCCTTTCTTGGCAGAGTAGTTGACTTCCAAGAGAGTAAAATCAGAAGGTTCAATGTCTGCTGAAACCTACACTCAGAAGTACTAAAATGTTTCTTCTGATGTTCAGAGCCTTCATCAAAGCAAAGCCTAAAAGGCATCACAGATTGAAAAGGCAGGGTTGACAGACTGGTGTTGGGAGACACAGCATGAGGAAACGAAGCATTCTTGACACCATGGTAGTCCTAATAGGCGCCTGCTGTGGGCCCAGGATGGCCTGGTTCTGCAGGGATCAACTGCTCACCTTGCAGGAGAAGCTGTGGGAGGCGGGTGAGTGGGTCTATGGCCCCAGAAAAGGGGCTGTGACTGCATAGAGCTCCTTTGGACAAAGGGAAAGTGTAGAAACAGAGTTCAGGGTAGGGCAGGTCTTAGCCTTGATCGGATCTTCTGTGGGCCCCTGAGGGAATCGGAAGACAGCATTTTCATTTTCTCCTCTTTTTCTCCATGGCCTATTTCAAGACTGTTCCTCTTGTCCAAGGCCGTGTGTTGCAACCTCTTGCGTGCTTAGGTTTCCGATCTTCAACTGGCGGGCCCCAGCCCCTGGAGACGTTGCTTGCCTAGCCTAGCCTAGCCTTACCATGCATAGGGAAGTTGGATTTTGGCCCTGGGTTTGGCCACCGCTACATCCTCCCCGTGTCCCACTTTCCTTCTGCCTGTTTGTATTCAGTCTAGACGATTTGCTTTTATTTGTTGGTGTCCTGCCCTAGCCTGGGGCTGCTGTGGTGGGGTGGGAAGAGCACTAGAATTGGAGTCGAGAAAGCTGGCTTAAATTCTCACTAGGCTGTTTATTAGCTGTGTAAAAACTCAGGCAAATTATTTACCTTCCCTGGGCCTCCAGCATCTCCTCTGCTAAGCAATAGCAACAAGCTCCATCACTAGGGTGATTAAAATTTGACAACAGCTGGCATCAGGGATAGTCTCCGATCCCAGCCCCCACTGCCCTGGTCAGACCCCCACCTATCCAGCAAGTCCCCACCAACCTCTCCTGGTCTCTGCACATCACTGCCACAGTGTCAGAATGAAGTTATCTTGGAATGAAGTTGTCTGTCTTCAGGGCCCAGTTTCAAAGCCGTGTGTGTGTGTGTGTGTGTGTGTGTGTGTGTGTGTGTGTGTGTGTGTGTGTACAAGCAAAGAGAAGAGTGAACTTTAGAGCTACACAGTCCAAAGTGGTAGCCCCAAGCCAGGCATGTATGTATATCAGATTCGGCCACTTATTATGCGACCATTACCAATTTCAATATAACTATAAAATACATACTGGGGAAGCCAGGTATGGTGGTGCATGCCTTTAGTCCCAGCACTTGGAAGGCTAGAGGCAGATGGAGCTCTTCGAGTTCAAGGCCAGCCTGGTCTATATAGTAATTTCCAGGAAATTACGAGAGCTATGTAGTGAAACCTTGTCTTGAAAAACAAAAACAAAAATTACAAACCAAGGCCAAGTATGATAACACATGCCTTTAATCCCACTACTCAAGGAGGCAGAGGGAGGCAGTTCTCTGAGTTCAAATACAGCCTGGTTTACTTACTGGGTCCCAGGGTAGCTGGAGCTACACAGTGAGATCTTGTCTCAAGAAAAAAAAATAAATAAAAATAAAAAATTGGTACACCTAAAATATAGACAACTCTATAATTTTTATTTTGAATAAATATTTAGATGTTTCACATATACACTATTAAAGCATAAGTATAGATTTTACCTGTTTTTCTTTTTTTTTAAATCTGACTTCTGGAAAAATTTGAAGTATATGACCTAGAAATATGACTTGTGCTTAGACCTCATGAAGCTGTGGGTTTGATTTCCCAGCACTGGATCAAACCAACAAGTAAATTACATGTGACCCATGTGCTATTTCTATTGGCTGGCACTGTTGTTGACTAAGCTAGAAGGTAGCAAGAAAAAGAGCCCAGGAAAAGAGATGGGGAGCTGGATGCTGAGGAAGGCAGATCTCTGTGAGTTCGAGGCCAGCCTAGTTTATATAGTGAGTTCCAGGACAGTCAAGACTACGCAGAGAAACTCTGTCTCAAAAGCAGGAGAAAGAAGAAGGGAGAAGGAAGGGTGTGTGTGAGATGACTCAATAAATAAAATGCTTGCCACACGAGTACAAGGACCTAGGGTCCTCAACACAGAGGCTGGCGAGCACCTGTAATCCCAGTGCTGGGGAGGGGACAGGTAATCACATTCCTGCGGCTCACTGGTCAGCCAGCAGATCGAAATCAGTGGGCTCCAGGTTCAGCGACAGACCCTATCTTGAAAGTTAGGAGGCAAGCAATTAAGGAAGACACCCAATATTGACCTCTGGCCTCCCCATGCATCTGCACACATGTGCAGGCACATACTCTCCACAAAAACCACAAAACCACAAAAACCGGAAGAGTCTGGAGGCAGAGTGGGGATGTAAGTGCAGAGCTCCAGAGAGGCCTCGCTGAAAAGTGAACAAGCCTTGAAGGTTTGAAACCAAATGTATCCGATGTGAGATGGGGTGGGCCAAACGGGGGAGGCTGGCAGGCCTAGAGTTCAATACCCACTCAGATCCATCTCCAACATGCCTTTCATGCATCCTTTCAGACGTATCTGCAGACTATGTTCATGAAAAATCACCTGCACCATAATCCCTAGCCCAAGCCAGAAGCCAGGCAATGGCGATGTGTTTTCTTACCTGTGGGAATAAATCTCCATCTCCCATTACTCACCCCCCACTGCTCCTTTTGGTGACATATCTACACAAAAGAGTACCCTAGGGTATACCATCATAGCCAGCCCAATATTTACCCAGCCCTATTTGCTATTTGAAGGAGTAGGGTGCTAGAAGCAGACTGAGACACAATATTCCTGTGTCAAAGATCCAAACAGGTCCACCTTGCCTGGGACTAGGACAGGACAGAAAGGCTTGCACAGGGGAAAACAGGGAGTCCCACTGGTAGTAACAAGGACTACTGGACTCTCAGTACTCAGAAGTAAATTGCACACTGAGGTCACAGCCCCCAGCTGTGCCTGCTGCAGCCAACAGCTCTCTCTCCAGTTAGCACTGGGGACATGGCCTGGTCCTTGCTGACAAGGGGTCTAGATGAGTTCTGCATGGTGTGAGGACCCTTTGCTAAGGAGCCATCTACCCTCCACCCATCCTCAGAGCACCCACTCATCATATTGAGCCAGGAATAGATGGATCATCCCATATACTACACCCCAGGGACGATTTTCCCAGACCTACGACAAATACCATGTCCCCAAAGGAGGAGGGAAAGCGGGACAGAAGGACCCAAGAGAAGAGAGACCAAGGAGAGCTTTGAGATCAGAATTCAATTCTTTAATACAAAATGCTTTTTTTAAAGATATATCTGTATTTCTTTGTTGCTGTTTAAAAATAAATATGTACTACGGAATATCTCGGAAAACTGCACTAGAGACAAAGACGTGATGTTAATATCTTTTTCCCCCACAATTATTACGGATAAACAGTAGCACCAATAAATAAATGATAACAAATATTAAAATTAAAAAAGGAGAGAGATTTAGTATGTAGAATTCTCTATTTTTTCTTGTTTTGTTTTTACATATAAAAAACAGAATAGCAGTCTATTTCATCAGGATCACATATATACATAAACATATATATATATATATATTTATATACAAACACAAGTAGCCAAATATATATATAGTATGTAAATGTATATTGAAACCTTATTTCAAAGGAATGTGTGGAGGGGACAAGGGAAGGGCAGAGCTGAGTGTTAGCAAAATTAAATATCTTCTCAGGACAAGCTAGTGACTGTCACCGATCCGGGAAAGAGATTGGAAACACAGATTTCATACACACACACACACACACACACACACACACACACACACACAACAAAACACAAAAACAGTACAAATAAGAGAGAGCAAGAGATACATCTCATAAATAGTTGAAATTAAATATTAACCAAGAATACTGAAAAAAAAACCCTACTCTTTAATTAAATTAACTGTTTTAATTTCTAATTAAAAAGGGCTATTAAATAAGTACCGTATATAAAACACTTTCTCTTTTCTCTGCCTCCGTGAGGGGCTTACGGGTCCTGCCCCACTGCTCTGTGCCTCGGGAAGGGGAAGGGATAGGATGGGGATGGGCTAGCCACTCACACAGGCCACGTCTCCTGGGGACAGAACTAGTGGTTTCAATGGTCTGAGCACACAGGGTTCCCCTGGGCTGTACCCAGGAAGTGGGGTAGGGAGAGGAGGAGCCATCGCCAGGCCTCTTCTTCCACCATGTGTTTTCTCTCTGCCAGGACACCTGTGGGAGGCCTCCTGGGCATGTCAGAAGTGGAGGAGAGAGCTGAAGGCTGGCCAGGCTCCTGATTCTTCCGGGCAGTGCCCAGAGGGGCAGGATGCTCTTGCAGCATGTAGTGGGTAATCCACAAAATAGGCCATGTCCTGAGGCTCCCCAAACTCCTGCTGGAACCAGCATCTTTGTCTCTTTATCTGCCATTTTTCTGTCCTCTTGACTCGGGGCCAGGGATGGGTTTGTCGTGTTTCTGGAAGTGAGCCAGTGTGCCCCCGTGCCCTGGCCTTGCACGTTTCCTGGCAGGCAGGAGGACGAAAGACCACAGCAGAGTCTTTTCGTCCTATGGTCTCCCCTATCAGGATCTGAGTAGGGACATTCTCCTCCCAACTCAAGTCCACAGCAGTCAAACACATCCAGTGAAGACACCAATAACATTAGCAAAGTTAATTTAAAAAAAGAATATATATATATTTTATATATATAAAACATATATATTTATTTATATATATAATATATATATATGTGTGTGTACGTGGGTGGGTATGTCTACAGGAATCCCAGAAATAAAACTCCCTAATCTTCCGGGCTTGGTGATTTAGCAGCAAGTAAAAGAAAATGACAAATCCAGTTCCACGAAGGACCATGCTTGGTCACCTGCCCGGGAATGCTTCTGCCGGAGTCTCACCCTCCGGACCCAAAGTGCTCCTCGAAGAGTCTCCTCTTCCTTCATGTCAGGCTTTCTGGATTAAGGACTGTTCTGTCGATGGTGATGATGATGGTGTGGTTAGTCGGTCTTTCTGGTGACAGGTCTGGTTCCCGAAACCCTGAGGGAGGCTCCTTCCTGCAGCCTGGCTCACCGCCTTGGCTTGTCACATCTGTGGGGAGTGGCAAAAAGAGGCAGAGGGTTAGGGCCACTGGAGCCTGGCAATGAGGCAAACAGCCTCCCCGGGCCTGGGAGCTCCTGGATCCCTGTAGGCTGGCACTACAGGAGCAAGTTCCCCAAGGCTCAGGTGAGACAGAGTCCCAGTGGAGAGAGAGACCCAGCCCTGCCTTCTAAAGATGGCCACCTAGGGAAGACAAGACAGACATGGAAATACTCGCAAAGCAACACATGAACAATAAAAGGATAGCCCCCATGTGACATTCCACAGCAGATGGGTGACAGGGTTAGATGTAGTTATCTAGGAAAGGGTCCCTGCAGAAGAATTTTAGATTCTGACTCTAGGGGTGGGTCTAGAAGAGTAAACAGTGGACAGGAAAAATACCTGAGCTAGGCCAATGACAGAGGATTACCCTGTGGATGTCCTGCCCAAGGGAGGACAAGTCCTAGAAAGTCCTGGGACTCCAGGAAGGTAAGAGAACGTGTATGTTCCCCATACCTCTCTCAGCCTTAGCTTCCACCTTGAGCTTCCTGGCAGTTGCAGGCCCAATCATGGGGCCACCTGTCCTTAACCACATGCCTAACAGGCTGGCATCAGACAACTCTGGCTTTGCTCCTCCTATGGATGCAGAGGGGGTTTCTTCTCATGCTCCTGCCCCTGGCTGGGTGCTCTGAGGACAGCCTGAGAACACAGGTCCTAACCCAGATACAGGCAGTAGTGGACTGGGTCGGGTCTCTGGGAGTCAGGTAACTTCAATTAGCTCCCAGCTCACTCCAGAAACCCAAAACGCAAGGTCTTTATCTTCCTTAAAACCCTCCGGAAAACTGAGCCCCATCACCCAGCCCCGTGGTTTGGAAGAGTCCCTACCATAGTACTGCCACACTCAGGGTTTCATAGTACTTCACAGGGATAATGCCACACCAACAACCAAGGCCAGCTCCCTGGCATCTTTTGAGCACCCACAAGACACAGAATGCAGGAGGGAAGGGAGCACACGCCATAGAACCCTTGCATTACTTGGGAGCCTGGCCCTATCTGGACCATCCCTTTAAGAATTCTTCCTGGGTGATGCTCATTCCCAGGCAGGCCATACTGACATAAATGCCTGTCTAGACATCAAGACTGTGAGCTGCCAGTCACAACTCTGCTCTTGACCTCCCCGCTCAATGTGGCCATATACAATATTCACTCATGAGCTTGACAGTTCCTTGGTCAACAAGGGCAAAGGACAGAAGTACAAACACCTGGGTGTCCTAAAGGGTTATAAACCAGGCCCAGGATTAAGGCGCTCACAGAGTCACGCCAGCAGAGAGGCCTAGCTCTTTCCTGCAACCATCCTGGAAGTATTTTGAAATGTGTGGGCTTTTCAGGAATATCACTCTTGGCCATGACTGATGCAGGACTAAGTTATCTAGTGTCCTCAGATGTATGCAGAGAGAATTTCCCATCCTAAACCAACAACAGAGCCCCACTTTCAGGAAGGCCCACTCTGAGGTGGACACGGCTTATCCTCAAGGCCTCCCACGCTGAGGGGGACATCCTGTCTTCAAGAAGCTACAGTCTGAAGGGGACACAAACAGCAAGAGATAAGGCTCCAAGCCCGGAAAAAAAAAAAAAAAAAAAAAAAAAAAAAAAAAAGAAAAAAAACAAACGAAAAAAACACTGAGCGGTGGGAGGCCCAACTGCACAGGCTCTCGGGGGCAGAGATGCAGCCAGGGAACAGTGTTAGACATTCCATATCTGGAAGGACTTTCAGATTTCAGCATTTACACCGAAGGTAGAATTAACAACATCAGCACCAATAGCTTCCACAAACAGCAGGACCGCAGGACACAACACACAGCTTGCGTCCACACCATCACATTAAGCCACGTCAGTCTACCCACTCAGGCAACCAGGGCCATCTCAGAGCAGGCCTACCAGGTCAGACAGGAGCCCGAAGCCCACACAGCCTCAGGAGTAGATAAGGCAGCAGTCACCACACAGGCAGCTAGAAGCTGAGCAAGCAGCTGGCCCCTCACAAGCGCGCTCTCTCTGTCTGTCTGTCTGTCTCTCTCTCTCTCTCTCTCCCGTGTCTGCAGTGCCCCTCTCTGACTCTCTCACTTGCCCTCTGGAAACCAACCTGCAAGTACGTTCGTTTAACTCAAGCTGCCTCGCCTTGCAACGCGAGTCTGTGTTTTTGCAGGAACATTTACACGTCTGCGGATCTTGGACAAACAAATGCTTTCTCCGCTCTGAGCAAGGCTCACAGTGACTGCAAAAAGGCAAAAGGAAAGACATCTAAGCTAGAGCATCAGCAGAGAGAGACAGAAAAACCCATGCAACACCCCCTAACATGTCCACAACGGCTTCCCCACCCAGCTCGGTGGCCGCTAGGCCCTTTCCAGTCCTGGAAAGATCCGAGAGCTCTAGCAGAAGACAGAGAGAGTGGCAGAAAGACGCGGCACTGGCAGGACATCTGCCTACAGGAAGAGGAGGGCACAGGCGGGCAGAGTGCAGCGAGAAGGCTGCCGTAAGGGGCAGTGCTGGCCCCATGAAGACATGGACCTATCTCAGGCCACAGGGCCCTAACTGCTGCTGTTCCCAGAACACATCTAGACTCGTTACCTGCTGGGGACAGTGATGAGTGGCCCGAGAGACCACCAGAGGCACCTCCTCCCTGGAAAAGGCCCTCTGCCCAGGCCCTCCACCAAGTGAGAGGACCAACAGAAGGCAAACCAAGTTCAGAGGCACTGTCCACCAGCCAGGCCACCAGAGCCAGCCCAGCCTGCGACCCAGAAGAAGTGGCCACCCTAGGAGACCTCTGTGGGTGATCTTGGCTGGACTCGAATAGAGGACTTTCCCCTTCTGGAGCCTCAAGTCCAGGTGTCAGAGCACTTCCAACAGATGAGAAGGGGCTGCCACACAGTGCCTGGCCCACTCAGGCTCATCTTCAGGCCACCATTATCCACTTCCCAACTATCACAGCCCTTAACTCACTCCACATCTGCCCCCCACACCACCCTTCCCTCTAGACAGGTACAGGAGCCTAGAGCAGTGGAAACCAGTCGGGCGAGAGGGTCCCAATGCCCAGTACCCATGCCAACAATGGCCCCACCACCAATGCCCAGTGGGTGAGAAAGTCGGTGCCCAGCCAAGCCAGAGTCCCGTCCCTGAGTGCTCCAGACCTACTCACCTTCCACCCACCCCATCCCAACCCTGGTCCAGCAATGCCACCACCAAGTCTACCCGTTGGTGCCATTAGTGGAGTGAGAGAGAGAGAGAGACTGAGGCCAGCAGAGGGCAGGGCAGGAGCCAGAGGGGAGCTGGGGTGGGAAGGCAGGGGTTAGGGGAACTGCAGGCGACTGTCTGGAGGCCAGGAAGGCTCCAAGGGATTAGGCAGCAGCGGCACCAACGTACACGCTCCAGGATTTAAACCGGGATTTCTTGCGCTTTCGTTTTTGACCCTTTCCCTTTCCTCGAACTGATTTTCTGGAAAATATAAAAATAGAAACAGACAGGAAGAGAACAAGAAGGAAGAGAACAGAGGTGTGATGTGAAGAAGACAGAGGAAAGAGCAGGAGGTCCAAAGCCACCCTGGCCACTCCTGGAGCAGCCTCCAGGAGAGACCACAGATACGGTGTGCTGGGACAACACACATCCTTCTCCTCACTTTGCCCACCATAGGGTGGCAGCCCCAGCCCTAGGCATGGCTTTGGGTGGGCAACAGAGACTGTGCAAGACATAGCCTCTAGGTTCATGTGGCCCCTGGTCCCAGGCAGGGCGCAAAGCTACAGGGGCAAGATCTTTGCCCAACAAGCCAATAAATACAGCTAGACCCTAAAGGTCAGGAGGCTCAAAGAAGGTCTAAGCCAGACTTTAAGGAGAAAGTCTGGTTTGAAACCAGAGGCTACGCCTCAAGAGACTTCTGCCTTCATCTCCCCAAGCATGATAGCAGGGGTCGCTCTGGGGGCCCTGCTTCACAGTATCCTTGGTGAGAGGGAACAGTTACTTGGGAGATGGCACAAAAGCCAGGGTAGGACATGGGGGCTCCTGCTGTCCAGCAGTCACCTGGGAGTTGGGTCTGGTTATCCTCAGAGTCTAGCACTGATGGTGGGGCCAGGAGGAGTGAAGGGGAGCAGCATGGGAACTTGGCAGAGACCCTTCTCTCCAGCTTGTCAAAGCCTGCTACTAGACCCTCTTCCAAGCTCGGGAGAGCCCTACCACTCTCCCTGTGGGCAAAGCAGGCATCTAGCGAACAGCTGAGAGGGACAGGCTACAGCCTGCCATCCTCCAGGGAACTAGCACTCTCTAGGCCTGCCAAGTCCCAGAGAAGACATGGCAGCCTGTCTATCATGGGGAAAGAGACAGGAAGGGACCTGGGAAGAGGGCAAGTCTGTCCTGCTTAGGAGAAAGCTCTGGAAGGATGGAAGGAGAAAGCTCTCCACACAGGACCACTCTCCTGGATCGTGTCCTCTCTCTCTCTCTCTCTCTCTCACTAACTAACTCCCAGACTATGCAGTTCTGGAATCTAGGGACTTAGGGAGAGGCATGAGGACTTCAAGTCCCCCAGGTGCCCTACCAGGTGGAAAGTGGTGTGGGGGAGGGAGGAGATCATGGGTGCCCTCTCTCAGTCGATCCTTCCCTGGAAATTCATTCCCCAACCATGGCAGCCCCTACCCTGTCCTGACCTTCCATAACAAGCAACCAGAAGCCTCAGAAAATGGCTACCACACCACTTTTCCTGCCCCACTAAAAGGGCGGCTGAGTCTGCTACCTGGCCCACTCTTGCAGAAAGCATACACACAACAAGAAATCTCCTGGGACCTTACGAAAACTGGACAGCCACAGTCACCACTGAACAAGACCAAGGCCATGTCCTCTGATACACAAAAACTGCCCTCTGGCACCAACTTGTCCTTCACTGTGCTGTGGGTCTGAGTATCCACATCACCCCTCTACCACCCACACTGAACCAGTGAGGGCTGGCCAGAATGACCAAGCCCTGGGGGATAGCATCTTCTTCATCAGAACAGCGGTCCAGCTTGGATCTCTTCATCATCCCAGAGGCATAAGCCTGAAGCTGGCTCTATCCCACCTCTGCCACGGTATCACCACCCATCCAAACTGGACCCACTGAGGCTAACAAACACCCGAGAGAGGAAGCCGAAAGCCCCAAACCAAGACAACTGGAAAAAGTGCTAACATGTGGCCACTTACTTTTCTGGCTTTGTTCTGTCTTTCTTTGGTCTGCAACGGGTAGAGAAAGGGGGGGGGAAAACAAAACACAGAGGAATTAAGATGACGAAAACAACAGGGGTGATAATAACAACTGGGTAATAACACGATGTTTATGATCTAGCAGCCCTATCTCAGTCTTTACACACAACAACAAAGCGGATCCTTATAACGCTGTGGTGAGGTACACCGAACTGTTGTGCTTATTTTCTTGATGTGGGGAACACACACACATGAGGTGAGCACACTGAGGCCCAAGGTCACACAGTCAGCTGGAAGGCGGTGTGACTAAGAGCGTAACAAGCTCAGCTGAGTGCTGCCGGCCTGCGTGTGGAGCTATCCTCACCTGCATTCACATCTGCTATGCTGTAGGAAGCTCATCTCTCCTATGTGCTGGCTTTGGTGAGGCTTGATCCGCATGATCTGTAGGGGGAGGAACGGATCACAGACGTTAGTGACCCAGCCAGCCAGACCCCTATGGGACACCCCAGGGCGCCTGACATTCAGCAACCAGGGGTTCTACTGAGCAGGGATAGGTGGTGGAGGTAGGGGGACCAGGGCTCTAACAGAAACGAGCCTTGGGCCACCCCAACTCCCCCGACCCTGCTGGCCTTAAGGAGCAGACATAGCTGCAAGGGTTGGCCAGGCTGGGAATTCAGGTCCTGGATTCTCACCATCCCCAACCCTTCCCCTCCTTTACTTCCTTCCCAAGCTTCACCCTAACCCCTCAAAGCTACCTAAGAGGTACCCACCCCATGTCACTGAACTCCCTCCCACTCTCCACCCAGTCTGGGCCCAGATCCACCCGTTACTATGTAGCACCCCATAACTGGCTTTTAACTCTATGGCTCCATCCAGCTTGCCACATGGAGCCCTCCAGCAGGGAAAGCCTTTGGGCTGCTCTCCCAGGGAGGGAGAAGGGCACATGTTGTAGCACCAGGCCCTGTTGAGCCGAGGGGGCAAAGGTCAGCAGAGCAGAGGAGATGGTCAAACTGTTGAGAACTCGAGCAGGGAAGCGCAGAGGTGCAGGCATCTTCTCCCCGTGTGGAAGAGAACCCCAACCTCATCTCCTCACCCTCAACCCCAATTTAGCTCCTCCTATCAAGAGCTTCCCAGGCAGAGGCCCAGACAACCTTCTAATGCCCCTCCTTATACCACCCTGCCCTTCTGCACCCCGTCCCCTATGCCATAGGTGCCTACCTGCATGGTGACGTTGCTCTCTGAAGTGGGCACGCACTCCAGGGCCTCGTCGTTGCAACAGCCCCCACACCGCATTAGGGGCACACAGGACGGCTTGAAGATATACTCTATCTCATCAGGGTACTCCTGGAAGATGTCCACCAGGGTCTCGATTGGACGGCAATAGCTGCGCTGGTAAACGTCCATGAACTTTACCACTGTGTGGGAGGCATGACACATGAGCCAGCTGGTAACACAAAGACGAGCAGCCTCTATCTCCACCCAGCTTTGTTAGACCACTCCTTACGGCTTCCATACCAGGTGAGTTCTTCTAAAAATCTAACTGAAGCACCTCCCTCATTTCTAGATCCAGGTCCAGGGGAGGTGGCCTGCCATATCAGACTCTCTTCCTCCTTGTAACAGCAGAGCAAGTTCCTGAGCCAACTATGACACCAGAGGACAGCCGGAGTGTAGGAACACTTGCTTTCCACTTTCATTTCACAGCTATGGCCATAACACCTATCAGGCCAACAGCCACTCACCAAGCATATGTTGGACCGCACAGTAAACTATGTCATCCCCACGTTAGCACTAAGTACCACCAGGACCCTATTTTACAAATGGACACCTAGACACTCAGAGAAACTCCGTTTGTCCCAAAGGCCACACTGCTACTAAGAAGCTGTTGGAACGGCTACAATAGCAAAGCCTTACAACACCTAAAACATGGGCAAACACAGACGCTGTAAGGGCTACCTTACACCTGCCAGTCCGACCTCCCCAGACTTCAGCAGAAGACAAGTCAGCAGGTGGTGGTGGGCAGGCACACCGTGCAGGTCCTGCCAGCACTAAGAGCCCCGCCCAAGAGGGCAAACTGCATCATGGAAAGAACAAGAGCCGCCTCGCCTCGGTGCAAAGCTTTTCTAGAAGCTGACCTGGAGGAAGACGGGGAGAGACAATTCCCAGGCAGCCTGAGGTACTTGTGAGCAGGAAGGGAATTCAGGGCCAAGGGGGTGGGCGCTAGAGAAGCACAGGACTCCCTCGGGACACCAAATGGTGGCTCAGCTGGTCACTTCTGGTCACACTCCTAAGACTACCCCACAGAACACAAGCCCACACAGGGGCTCTGCCAGCAGCCAGTGTGACCTTGGGCCTGTTCCTCCAGTCTCTGGGCCTCCAAATGGCTATCTGCAGAAGCAGGTTGGCCTGACCTCTAAAGACACTTAGGAGAGCGCAAAGGTGGCATTCTGTCGCTCTTTGCTAGCCCTGAAAACAACTCCTCTTTTCTCATTCCAGGTGACAAAGTTTGGAATGTCACCAAGGCATTTTAAGTGCACGCTCCAGAGACAACCCACCCCCCAACCAACCTGGGGCCACAGCCAAACCTCCCTTTGCTCTCCACATTTTTGGGTTTTTTGTTTTATCCAGAAAGGCAAAGAAGATGGAACCCAGGTGTATGATAGGTTGGCTGGGGAGAAAGTGAGCCATCGAGGAAAAGGTGGAGTGATGGTCACAGATGTTCAACAGGAAAAGGAGTGGGGGTAACCTAACTGCCACCCTCTGCCTTGCTCAAGTGCTCTCTTTTCTATCTGGACAAACAAGTACAGAATTCTTGTCTACCCCCAAAGAGTTAACGTAAAACACACCCCCCCAAAAGTCCATGAGATCAGATCTGCAAAATTCTTTTCAAGGCAAGTCTATATCAAAGATGACTAACTCAGAATTTTTTTTAACTGATCCTTAGCTGGGACAGAGGTGGCCCAGGCTAGTTAGCGGTCCCACACAGGAACTGACGGCAGAAAGGAACAACCCAAGCAATGAATGGGATGGAAGCCGAAGGTAGAAAGAATTCCTTCTAAAGGTCTGCAGGAGTTGGTGGCGATGCCTTGGCCAGTACCCATGGGAGCCTGGCCCCTGCCCCCAAGGAAAGCTGCCCTGTCCTCAGGACGTGTGCACACATACACTCCAGCATCAGGCTTTCGTGGTTTTCCTTATTTATGGCAGGCAACCTTTTCTCCATCAAACAAAGACCATTTGTCTTGCCTCTCCCAGACCACAGAGCCCACTAGGAAGCAGAAAGGGGTGGGTAGCACTTTGGAAGTGGGGGCCTGTCAGTAGCTGGGGCCAGGGAGTGGCAGAAAGCCAGGCCCTGGGCCAAAGAAAGAGCTCCTGGGGGAGGAGGCAAAACCGGCTGGACATCACCAGCCTTCCTTGGCTGGCTCCAGCAGCCACACTGGATTTGGGTCAGAGAAATTAGCCTAGAGGAAGACCCCAGGGCCTTCCCTACACAGAGGAAGGACACTGGGGGAGTGGCATCCGGCTGGAGCAGAGGCCACACTCAGTGCTGGGGAGAGCCAGGGCGTCCCCAGAGAAATGGGAGGATCCCGGTACTCCAAACCACACTGGAACAAAAGGCAGGCGGACTCCGGGTTGGGCAGGGGGGCGGGGCGCCTGAGAGCTACAGCTGGCCCTCTGCTGGTCCTGCAGGGAAGTTCACAGCACCCAAATGCAGTCTAGGGAAGCTGCTGTCCTCAGAGAAATGCAAGCCCAGGGCTTGGGAGTCCTATTAGGATGTCCTCCTATCATGCCTCCAGCTCACACAGGAAGGGTCACAGTCTGCACGTGTGGGCCAGGCCTGAGTAGAAAGTGGCACTAAGCATTTATCCTCCCCTGGGAGTAGGGGACATAAAGGATACTTCTCTGAACATCTGGAAACCCTGAACACTGCCTTCCTCGTGTGTGCTCATAGCAGCCTTTCCAGATAAAATTTAACTGGAAAGGGTGTTAGAAAAAGCAACAAGTCCCACTTCTAGCAGAAATCTGAAGAGAAAACACCTAAAGAAACACACGAGTTAAATTCGCAGTATCCATGAAATCTTGATCCTCATATTCCTGTACCCTTCCTGCCCCACCCCCAGGTCTAAAAAGGAGGAATGGGCTTATCCAT